GAGACAAACAGGGATCAAAACTGGGATCCAATCTGGGATCCAAACTGGGCAAACTGGGATCCAAACTGGGAAATCTGGGATCCAAACTGGGATCAAAACACGGATCCAAACTGGGATCCAGACTAGCAGCTAAACTGGGAGCCAAACTGGGAAATCTGGGATCCAGGCTGGGATCCAGACTGGGATCAAAATAGGGAGCCAAAGTGGGATCTAAACTGGGATCCACAGTGGGATCCAAACTGGGCAAACTGGGATCTAGAGGGGGATCCAGACTAGCAGGCAAACTGGGAGCCAAACTGGGATCCAGACTGGGATCCAAACTGGGCAATCTGGGAGCCAAACTGGGATCCAGACTAGCAGCCAAACTGGGATCCAAACTGGGATCCAAACTGGGATCCAAACTGGTTGAACTGGGATCCAATCTGGGATCCAAACTGGTCGAACTGGGATCCAATCTGGGATCCAAACTGGTTTCCCGCGGCCCTGGCAGGAGCCCGATGGTGACGGGGACATCGGTGCTGGGGCTGAAGTTCTCCGGGGGCGTGATCCTGGCCGCGGACACGGTGGGATCCTACGGATCCCTGGCGCGATTCCGGGGGATCTCCCGGCTCCTCAAGGTCAACGACTCCACCGTGCTGGGATCCAACTGGGATCCAGACTGGGAGCCAAACTGGGAAATCTGGGATCCAAACTGGGAGCTAAACTGGGATCCAGACCAGGATCCAAACTGGGATCAAAATAGGGAGCTAAAGTGGGATCTAAACTGGGATCCAAAGTGGGATCCAAACTGGGATCCAAACTGGGATCCAGAGGGGGATCCAAACTGGGATCCAAACTGGGATCCAGACTAGCAGGGAAACTGGGATCCAAACTGGGATCCAAACTGGACAGACTGGGATCCAGACTGGGATCCAGATTGGGCAATCTGGGAGCCAAACTGGGATCCAGACTAGCAGCCAAACTGGGATCTAAACTGGGATCCAGACTGGGATCAAAATAGGGAGCCAAACTGGGATCTAAACGGGGATCCAGACCAGGAGCCAAACCAGGATCCAGACTGGGACCCAAACTGGTCAAACCAGGATCCAGACTGGGATCCAGACTGGGATCCAATCTCGGACCCAAACTGGTCGAACTGGGATCCAAACTGGGATCCAAACTGGGATCCAAACTGGTCGAACTGGGATCCAAACTGGGATCCAAACTGGGATCCAAACTGGGATCCAAACTGGGATCCAAACTGGGATCCAAACTGGTTTCCCGCGGCCCTGGCAGGAGCCCGATGGTGACGGGGACGTCGGTGCTGGGGCTGAAGTTCTCCGGGGGCGTGATCCTGGCCGCGGACACGGTGGGATCCTACGGATCCCTGGCGCGATTCCGGGGGATCTCCCGGCTCCTCAAGGTCAACGACTCCACCGTGCTGGGATCCAACTGGGAGCCAAACTGGGATCAAAACAGGGAGCCAAACTGGGATCCAAACTGGGATCCAAACTGGGCAAACTGGGAGCCAAACTGGGATCCAAACTGGGCAAACTGGGATCCAATCTGGGATCCAAACTGGGACCCAAACTGGTCGAACTGGGATCCAAACTGGGATCCAATCTGGGATCCAAACTGGGATCCAATCTGGGATCCAAACTGGTTTCCCGCGGCCCT